AGAAAATGCCACCTACAGTTGAAATGAGCGCGAAACGAGAAAAGAAAAGGAAAGGCCAAAACAGAATCATGGCCCATGCAGGTTTCGAACCTGCGACCTTCGCGTTATTAGCACGACGTTGTAACCTACTGAGCTAATAGGCCAGTTTGTTTGATGGGCTGTGGTTTAAAGTAACTAACTTGTAGTGATTTAATAATTTCGATTACCGTAAAAAAGACAGTTTCGAAACAAAATTAAGAATTATTGTGACAAAAAAACAGCGGATTTGCATTATGACCAAAATAAAATAAAAAATAAAAAACAATGAATTTGAATAAAAAGGCAATTGTGCCTATGGAAAGGCTTATCCTTACAGTATTCCTTTCATTTCTCTTAATTTTTTGTGCCTCTCGTCTGCCTCGCCTTCTTTCACTTGAACGATAATAATTAATACCCCTTCTTCTCCTACATTCACATATCAAGACCCTGGCTATTTTTCTTTTTTTAATAAAAAAATATTTAATTTTGGGATACTAATGAAAGACCTGATTAATACTCCCTCAGTTTTTCAAGAAATGTGTTTACCATTGTCATATATAAGTAAAAAAAAAAAAGGGAGCAATGCAAGGCTGTCCAAGGATGTTTCACGCAGAATATTAATGAATTCTCCTACTAAAGTGCCTGCCTCATCCTGGCGCTTCAAGCTGCGATGAGTATCAAAACCTGTTGCTGGGCGAGGAAGAGAATAGGGCAGATCACGCGATCGCGTATTGCCTCCAACGGTAATAATAGCTACTTTTTAAGTATTTTTTTAATTAAAAATGTATTAAAATAATTCTTTTATTTTTAAAAATTTATTTGTAATATTAACATATCAAAATAATCTAAAATAATAATAAAAAATTAATTTTAAAAAAAATCTTTTAAAAAAAAATCGTGGAACCATGAAAACAAATATGCTAAAAAGCATATTAATGCAATGGTGAGAGGGAGACGGGTTAGTCAATTACAAAGAGGTATCTCTTGTACAATAATTATCAACTAATTAGCCCCCCAACTATCTACTAATTCTCAATGTATTCTCCAAACAATAATAGGAAATTGAAATTCAGTTCCTGAAGTATTATATATTTCTTAATTCGATCCCCTGTTTGAAATACCACCGTTTTGAACCGAAATATCAAATTCTTTTGGGACCCCATTTGACTTGATAAAGGATGTTTGATGCTTTAGGGATTAGACCCAAAATAAGAAAAACTTTTAATAAATCAACTTGTGAGTTGGTAATTAATTAATTAGTTTGGGATTAAATTGAAGTTTTCTCATAATATTTATTTTTTTAAGTCATGTGTACCTATAACATCTTTTTGTTTAAGCTTTTCAACCTGCTTTTTATTTTATATATATATTGGAAAGTATTATTTTTTATGCCTTTTAACTTGTTTTTGTAAACAAAAAGTACGTTGAAAACGGTCTTATCTGTGTGGATGATGCTCGAGAAGGAGAAGGGCTAACACGAGCAGGAGGTGCCAGATTTGGGAGGTGAAGGAGGGGTGGAGCTAAACAATTGAACGAATCCGGTTTTGAACGAAGATATTAGACAAAACTATAAATTAAGTTTTTAAAAACATTTAAGAAATATTTTTTTATTAAATTTTTTATGTATATCTAACAAGGATAACGAGACTATATTTATTTTATACTAGAAATCTTTTTTAAGTGAAGATAATTTTCATTTTATAAATCATGATCGATAAAAAAAACCTTATTTATTCTTGCAGTCTTTTATTATATAGAGTCTTGTGTTACCATACAAGTAAGAGTCTTTTTTGTTTTTATATTTTAAAAATATTTTTTAAAAATTTAATTAATTAATTTATTTAAAATTAATATTTTTTATGCTATCAAATTATTTTGATACATTAATATTAAAAATAATTTTTTTAAATAAAAAATATATTTTTAATAAATCTCTAAATAAAAAATATTTTAAAAAATAATCTAAACAAATATAAAAAAATAATAATCAGAACTTCACTTCTAAATAGCCATAAAAAAATAAAAATAAAAGTTTATCTGGGGTGGTCTCTCCTCGGCAGGATTGGGGTCGGCGTCATAGACTCCAGGCTCATATGTCAGCATTAATGGAGTATCCCTTTGCGAGTACGACACCTGTTGATTGTGTAGCAAGGCAAATCGTAAGCTGTTGGTAACAGTGGGGATAAATGTTTGTTTCAGTGTCACATTCAAGGTTACTTGAGAATTAGGACTGGCAGCTCCTGGAGTAGTGATAGCCTGGATTCACATAAAAAAATATGTAAATTCTAGGAATTTACTTGATGGGCCTGGCTTGATTGATGGAGAATTGCATATAAAATGGGCCAGGTCAACTTGGAAGAGGCCCAGTACCAGTGCGCTGGAGCAGAGATAAGGCACCACTCCCATGCCCCCAAGATTGCTAAATTCAGCCGCATTAACCCTTTTTGGCGTCGCGCATTTGGGAGTCCGCCATGATTTGTATGATCCTTCACGTTCAACCACCACCTCCTCCTCCTCCTCCTCGTTCTCCTCGTCCTGATGATTTTGAATCCTTGAAATTGAAACTCCACAGGTTCCTTACATCGCATATTCTAAATTGATATATCTTTTTCTGCATATCACATAATATATATATATATATATATATCATCTAATTTTATTGTGTCCCAATTAATTTATAGTAATTAAGCCAAATGGACCTCCTTAACCTTCCATTTCATTACCTTGAGCTAATAGCTATCCTAAAGGATGCATAAAATTTTGCAGAGGGTTCAAGCATGGGCCTTTGTCGTTCATTAACATCCAGTCAGGGACTGTGGGGTTGTTAATCAACGTGTTTGTGAGATTTTGACATCATTAATTATACATAAGATTAATGATATTTATACTAAATTATTCCTAGCATATATTTTTTGTGAATATTATCAATATTGATGCTATTCGAGATACATATATTGGGACGTATAAAATTACTCTAGCAAAAAGAATTCCAACAAAACGGTGTAGTACCTAATTTATGTGATGGGGCAAATGACCTTGTGACCATAGTTTTAAAATTCGGCCCGACCCGATAAGTTGACCCGGGATCCAGTCGACTCTGGGCTGGAACCGGGCCGGATTGATGAAAAAATAAGATAAGCCATGACCCGACAGGTTGACCTGGAAATCCAGATGACCTGGCAAAACCCGGTCAAAAACCCAGTTGCAACCCGTTGATTTTTGTTTTTTTTTTATAAAAACAACATTGTTTTGAATTTTTTTAAAAATAGAAATTGACCTGGCCAATTCGGTCAAAACTCAGAATCCAGATCTTAGACTAGGCCGGCCACCAGACCGAGTTTAAAAACTATGCTTGTGACTTTGTGAATTCCAATCACCAATGAGAAGCTCGAATTCATCTTCTGGTTTAGCGAAAGGTACACTAAGAACCTAACGCTTGTTAGATGCTTAACTCTGATGGGAATCCCCCGACCAACTTTCTGGTAATTGATGGATAGGAAAGTAAAAAAAAAATTCAATTTGGTCCCTGACTTGGAACACGTAAGTTCAATTTGAACCGGACACAATTGGATAGTTTGTCCCGTCCACTGCATCTTACCATGAGTTCGGTCTTGGTTGCATCCCGTTCCTGCACCATCAAAATCAAAAGAAAGCCGTGCAGGCCTTGATTTTTTCAGCAGAATGCTTCCTCTTATAATTTATCGAAGCAAATACTAATGTCTTCTTGTGTGTGGAAAATTAAATTAAGTTACATTGGTTATTGTTTTGGAAATGAAAGAGATAAAAACAATGAAATAAAAAAAGACATGTCTCTTTATATTTTTAATTTTAAAAATCAAAAAATTATTCAAAAACCATTTCCAACATATATTTACTTTATGGTTTTGTCCCTATTTTTTTTTATTAAATGTGTTTTTATCTCTTTTATATTTTTTTTATTTTATCTTGGTACGTAATGCAATGTCCAAAAGTTTTAATGTGATGTTATAAAAAATAAAAAAATATTTTAATATATTTATTAAAAAAATATTTTTTAAAAATAACATTAACTATAATACCAAAAACACTTTCAACCACAACCTGACACCCGTAAAACAAGTAAATGGAGCAGTCTCCACGTGCACTAGGAAGCCAGGCAGCCTCCTCCCAGCGCACCAAAACGTCAGGATAGCGATGATTCCTGTAGCCATAATTTGCCCAGCCCTTGCAGCCACGTTGACTGAGCCCAAACTATGTGCTAGCTGTTTAATTTCTGTCAATTCTGTTATATCCCGAAACTTTTCCTCAATTGTGCTAGTTTGCAAAATATGACTATTGCTCTAAAAAAAATTTATATGTATATTTTATTTTTAGGAGTTGGTGTAATTTAATTCAATGTGATATTTTTAAGAGTATGTTTTAATTGAAAATGTATTAAAATAATATTATTATTTTTTTTAATATAATCCATTAAAATTATATAAAAATATAAAAAATAATGATCAGATGTTTTTAAAACGAAAAATAATTTGAAAAATCACGTGCATAATAGACAAAATCTTTAGACACTTTACGTACCTGACACACTTTAGAGAGAGAGAGGGGGAGAGAGAGAGAGAGAGTACCTTAACCTGCTGAACTATCCGACTAGCTAGCAGTCTGGCAAGTTTTTTCCTTTGAGAGTCCCAGTTGGAAAGATTCAGCAGGTTTCTGACATTTTTAAATTTCAAGTCAGCAATCATTTTCAAATTCTCATCCTTCAAGTTTTCTCATGTGTAACTTGAGGTGCGAACAGCTGTGGGATGTTAAGAGGGCTGGTCAACCAACCATTCACCAGAGTACTCAGCTTCCAAATATTCTGGACTGCTAAAGATTTAAATTATTTCAAGCTCTTTTTCTTTCAGCTAGTGCGAAAGCTGAATTGCTCATAGTTTGGTATGGCCGACAGGACATTCTGCTGGGTGTTATAATTATCCTGCTGCTCAAAGTGCTTGACACTGAAATGATTGTGGTGTTCCCTCCACTGAGAAAACTTCAGTACTTTTAAAAGAATCGATGAAAACCACTTTCCCTGAAAATATACTATACAAGTGCTGCCAATTTTAACAACGTTCTTATTTTCTGCCCTCAACTGTGTGTAAGCATCTACTTTTCTCTGCGTGATGCACACCGGTTTGGAAACAGCATTCACAAGCAAAAGATGTTACAGCACTCAACTTCCCAAAATTTTAGAGGTTACAGCGGAAGCAGTAAAGATGACCATAAGAATAGATCTCTAAGAAGAGCATGAAATCGTTGACAGAGAGTGAAGGAGATCTGGCCACCCAATTGCCCTTGGCATAGATTTTGCGTCGTAATATTACAGGCGGTTTAATTAGGAGCAGCAACCGCCCCCACGAGGTGCCTGGTATACTTGTTTCTCTTTCAGAATCTGTTGTCTCACTACTACTGAACCATTTTCCAATAAACTAGGAACCTCCGATATCTGTAAAGCAGTAGAAATGTTCAGAATTTGCACTAGATGTTAAACAATGAGAACTACTTGTAGCTCTCAATTCTTCCATTAGATTTACTACCATTAACTTTTAGAACATATTGCAGATTCAGAGCACAGTAAAGAAAAAAGATAAAAGGGCATTTTCTTCGATAGCAATGTACCTTTAATGTGAGTTCTTTGAAACATTGCAGAACATTTTCCCTGGTTTTAGCACTACATTCAAGAAATGAACATTTATGCTCCTGTGCAAGAGCCATCCCTTCTTCTCTACTTACAACTCTTTCACTATCCTGAAAGCATTGCATCATTCAGACAATGTGCCCATTAAAAGCACAAAACTTGAAGACAGAAGGTCTCTAACATGACATGGAGGAATATAATCGACGGGCTCTTAATATTTAATGCGCATGCATGCATGTGTCAAAGTAGGAAAAGATACGAAGTATTTCAGCTTACCCTATCAACTTTATTTCCAACAAGTATTTTGATACACTTCTGATTAGTGTAGAGCTCCACTTCCTCTGCCCATATATCTGACAAATTTTCGAAGGTTTCCCGTCGCGTCACATCATAAACTAAAACGAAATCATAGCACAAACTAATCAGGATTTTATACATATGCATATCGCAAGGGAAAAAGCAAACTGATTCTTAACTAATTTAGGTTGTCTCACTTAACCAATAATTATCAAAAATCAGGTAAATGAGGGGAGTTCAACTCAAGGCTTAACAAAATAGGATAACTTTAACTATATAAAATATGTAGTGAATGCTTAGACACTTGCCATACCAAGGATTATTCCATGTGCCCCCCTATAGTAAGAGCTTGTTAATGTTCCAAACCTCTCCTGCCCAGCTGCAATACAACAGAACTCATTATTCACACACCGCTTATTCTATACCTCTCCAGGAAAGAAACACCTGCCGAATCCAATCTGACACTTTATAAAGGGAATAGAGTTTAATTCAAATAAATAGTTGGCACTTGGCAGCTTTGATCTAATCAGAACCGTGTCAAATTTTTCTTCAGTATGGAAGGAGAGTCGATGAAAAACAGACTTGTTGAAGATTTTTCTTCAGGTATGAAAGGAGAGTGGATTGGTACAGTTGATGAGGACAGCATCATGCACTGGATTTATGCCATCCAGAAATCTATCTAAAGGGGAAAGGGTTTGTTTGATCTCTTCATGTTAAGTGGCCGTTCGGATCCCATGAAAGCAAATGTTTCCCCAAGTTCAATCGGGGATGGAGGTTTGGAGCGCAGAATTCAGAGCTTAAGAGCCATTTTCCTCTAATTACCTGTGTCCCAGATTGTTAACTTCAATCTTTTCCCACCAAGAGTGAGCACCTTGATTTTAAAATCCACACCTGCACATTTTTGAAGCCTTCCCCTTTAAGACACTACACATTTCAGAGCTAGTCAAAATTATTGAAGAATAAAGACACGAGCAAGGCTAGTGATTTAATCCACTTGTATACACCCTGAATTCCTGATCAGATTCTAGATAGAAGCACAAGTATGGCTCTCACAATAAATTCCAGTCACAAAACTTAAATGAACAAAACAATCTCACCAAATTCGCCACTGAAAATCTATTGTCAAATCTCCTTACATGCAATTAAAAGATAGCTAGAAGTTGCAGCCAATGCCTATCTGCAAATTTGCCGCTAGAAAAAGAAAGAAAGGAGAACATTAAATGACAGTACCGATAGTGGGAGAAAGGTCTCGAACAGAGTTGGAGATGAAACTTAAGAGAAGACTACTCTTGCCAACCCCAGAATCCCCAATCAACAGAATCTTAAATGAATAATCATAACTGTTATTCCATCCTTTAGAAAAAGAACCCACCATTTTTTCTTTAGTTCTTTGCAACCTAAACTAGATACTGGCAGTTTCTAAATGAAAACAAGAAAAAACTGTACGAAGAGGTTAGAGATTTGAAGAGCAAGAAAGCATAAAACGAAATGGGAAATTTCCTGAGGTAGGAGAGGACATGAAAGGTGGGGTTGGCAGATAGTGATTTCTTTTGGTTGATGATGATTTATTATAAAGTAAGATTAAGAGTTTAATCTTCGAGAGAAATGTCTTTTTTGTTTGAATTTGAACTTTTTTTATTTTGATAGCTGCACGCGCCATTGCAGGCCTCTTGGATTTACATATGTTATGTATTAAGGAATTTGGCCACTAATTAATCTGTATCCTTGTAATTAACTCTGTTCATTGCTTTTAACTCCTCTTTTTCATTAATTTAATTAATGACGATTAAGTAAAAAGGAAAAAAAAAGGAACAAAATTCCCCTATCTATATTTCTCTGTAGTCGATTCTGACTACTTATGTCGACGTAGCACGTCCAAGTTTTTTTTTTTTTTTTTTTTTTTTTTTTTTTTTTTTTTTTTTTACCATGCTCAAGGTTTAGCTTTAGACCATTTCTTCTACATACAGATATATTAATTAGTAATTAAGATAATCCAATTAATTTTTTTGAATTAACACACCGGTTCATTATTGCAAAATCAATTGTATTTTATTTTGGAATTAAAATAGTTCCAGTCTTTCTCTCCGTTTCTTTTTAATTTTGAACCAACAAATTAGCATTTCTCCCATGTCAATATATCCTGTCCTCACCAATTAGCACAACACTTGTCATGAAGAAATTCTTAAATATTGATTTATTATACTAAAATAGTTTTATTCAATTTACATGCTAGCTATCCAAAAGATTTTTAATAAAAAAAAAATATAATGATATTATTTTAAAGTGATTTATTTTAAACAAAGTGATTCGAATTATTCGGTCGGATATTATTAATATTTTATTTAATGCTTCTCTGGCAAAGTAAATATCCAGCAAAATTACTCATTCTTATCGGCTGAGGTCAATATCCATAATTTTCATATTAAATTTTAATCACTATAGGTTGAACCTTTCTTCTTCACTTGGTAAAAGCCAACCTCTTTTTCACGCAACAGAATAATTAATAAAATGACAATAGCAAACAGCCATTGATGACGAAAGTATAAATATAAACGTTATATTATATCGGTAATTACCAGCTGTCGTTCTATAAAAAAAAGAAAAAAGAAAAATAAAAGAGGTTAATGCATGAACACTTGAGTTTATGAATTCAATTTCAATCACTCTTATTTTGCGCTGGAGTTCATTACCATGGCAAAAAAAATAAAATAAAATGCCATCGACCCTTCCACCAATCAGATCACACACAACGCCACACGCTAATCTGTGGTTTTCTGCTGCTTCTATATTTATTAGCCATTAATCACTGTATTTCAAAACCCCATTCCATTCTCTGGAATTCAGTGTCTGAAATAGGCATTGTTTAATAGTTACGAAGCGAGGAGGAACACACGATGAAGCCCATGTTCTTGAAATGGCTCAAGAGTTGGTGATGGGCCAAATTTGCTTTAGCCCTAGTCCTCATTCAAATTCAAAAAGACAACGGGGTTTGTTTGGTGCTTTGACCAAGAAACGGCCAAAATTCACCACACCCACGTAATATCTCGGCATGCAGGGTTACAAGTTACAGTGTCAACTGCCTAGCAGGCAAAAGTTACCCTCTTCAATCATCGGAGCTCGAGCCAGACCAGCAGACATAGCGCTAAAAATCAAACCAAAGTTACTACTTCTATATTAAAATCTTGGACAGAACGCCCTGCCCGTGAGGCCACATCAGTCTTGAAAAAGCGCTTTATTAGTTGAGCCCAGCCGATTTTGCTGCCTCAAAAGCTGAAGCACAGCAGACCACCGGGCATGACCATGAGCCCATCTGGTCAAACCTTCACCTCCACGTAGTTGGTTGATGATGGAGGAGCCTGTGCACGCAAGGGTTAGCTAAGTCATCCTCTGGGTTGATCCTTGATAATACCGAGTACAAAAACTTAGTTAGGTCCCACGAGCCATTACTTGCCTTAGTGGACAAGTATCTAATCAAGACGTAATTTTTACCCTTGTCAGGGCATTTGTTGTGTCAGAATAGGATGCTCTGTCCAATTAAATCCTTTTTTTTTTGTCTATTTTTACTTTTCAAGTAGTCGTAAAAAAGGGGTAATTTCTTGGCTGCTTATTCGTTTCATCTTGTGTTATTTATCTTAAGTTTTCTTGTGTTATTTATCTTAAGTTTTGGCCTCTTCTTCCTCTTTCTCACACCACACTCCAGAGGTTCCCAGCTATATATTTATGTGCAGCTTTCCAAGATACCTGCCGAGCTGGTGATGGCTATTTTTACTGTTTTAAGATAGAGGATCTTACAGGTTATTAAATCATTAGGGTTGCTGGAATTAATTTGTTTTTGGTAACAATAAATGAAATTCCATAACAGTATAGTGAAATTGGAAACAATGGCAATCAAATTGTAATACAGTAACCTGTCCTCCGACGCCCCGAGACACTGACATCACCTCTTGGTGGCAAGATTCAGCCCATGAAAATTTAATCATGCTATGTATATTTCTATATAACTGTAATAACTTGGTATTATATCAAATAACCTTAATTGTTTTGAATTTAATACATTTATCATTATTTTCACGGTCTGAATAACATTGTTTGGTTATAACAACCTCATATGGAATAACATTGTCTGGTTATTAATTTTAATTTTTATGTTTATATAATATAAATACAAGCAGATTTCCTAGGATTCAATGTATTATAAATCAAGAGTCCCTCAAAATAATGCCATTTTATTTCGAAATTAATTTATTCAGAAGCATTTTTCTAATCTGGATAACCTTTATATGGTTGCATCAACTAGGTACGATATTGTCAAATATTCTTATTTATTTTAAAATTGATTTGCTTACGTATATTATTAGCAATTAAATATTTTTCATATCATTATAACAACTCATCAGATAACCTTACATCAACTAGGTACGATATTGTCAAATATTCATATTTATTTCAAAATTGATTTGCTTACGTACATTATTACTAATTAAATATTTTTCATATCATCATGACAACTCATCAGATAACCTTATTTATTTTAAAACCATATAATTACAATTATTTTTGCAACTTTAAATAATTTTTACCAGCCATGACAACTCGATCCGGTGCCAAATAACCTTATTTAGCCATAAACCAAGATTCACTTTATTTACCTACCATATATCCATCCACCCCTCATGTTGCCCCTGATCCAAGCCATATACGTGACCCTCAACAAACAAACATCACCCAATTGAACCAACCAGAATGTATTCCACTGCAATTGCCATCAAATTGCTAGACAGTTCTTTTTCCTCCTCCTAAGTTCTAACATAACATATGTTACATATGTCTTGTCTACATATTCAACAGTAAACATTAAACCCCTCAAAAAATCAAAGGTCAGAAATTATTGCCCACAAAAAGAACCTAAATTGCTTGCAATCGAAGGCACTACCCTTAACTAGCCAGTTTCTTCCCCATCAATCAAGAAACCTTATCTCCACTCCCAAAAAACCCTAGCCTCCTTTTCCACCCTTCCCCCTTTCCCAAACAACCATAGCCCATCATGGGTCCTGAAACTTCCTCGCAAGAACAGCAATTACGACTAGCACTGACAATCCCAGCACCACCAGCTCCAGCACCGGAAAAAGCGACACCAGTCAGTACTAAAACGACAGCGTTAGCACCTGGGTTTCGATTCCACCCAACAGATGAAGAACTCGTTATCTATTACTTGAAACGGAAGGTTTCCAATAAACCTTTCCGTTTTAATGCTATTTCTGAGGTCGATATTTACAAAAACGAACCTTGGGACCTTGCAGGTAATTACTTCTTCTTCTTCTTCCTTTTCATGTCTAATTGCTTTCTTGTTTATTTTTGTGATTTTTTTGCTGTTTCTTCTGTTTTAAGGCATTATAGTTGATTTTTATTTTCATTTTTTGGTCCCATTTTTTAGATTTCGTACTACAGGTAGTGTTTATAGGAATACATATTTACTGGACTGTTGCTGTTTTTAGTCCGTAATAACCATGTCTGGCTATTTTCTCTAATGGATTGCTGGTGAATTGGGGATTTTTTTAATTGATTTTCTTTTTGGATGATACAGTTCTTTATTCGGCTGCAAGTGGTTTGTTCTTGTTTTATTTTACGTTTGTTAGATTGGGTTCTTTGCTTGGTATTAACCCATTCGCATGGTGTTCTTACTGGGTTTCAATTATGCTGGTCTGTAGATAAGTCAAGGTTGAAAAGCAGAGACCAAGAATGGTACTTTTTCAGTCCACTGGACAAGAAATATGGGAATGGAGCAAGAATGAATAGGGCGACAGGCAAAGGATACTGGAAAGCTACTGGAAAGGACCGGGAGATTCGGCGAGAGTGTCAACTCCTTGCAATGAAGAAAACTCTTGTGTTTCATAGTGGGCGTGCACCAGGTGGGCTGCGCACCAACTGGGTTATGCACGAGTACCGGCTTATTGATGAAGAATTGGAAAGAACCGGAGCTATGCAGGTCAGGCTGTAATAGAATTGTTGTTCGTGGTCTTAGCAATGTGGATTTCTATGTGGTTGCCTTGATAATTTAGGAAATGAAAGGGAAAATAGGTATTTTGGTTTGACAATAAAAGGAGCTCAACCAAAAGTAATTGTGGAGTAAATTGAGGAAGTGGAAGATTTTCCATTGTTATGCTGTTCTGATTTTGTTTGTTTTGTTTTCTGTGAAGATCGACTCATATGTCCTCTGTAGAGTGTTCCACAAGAACAATATAGGACCACCAACTGGGAACCGCTATGCCCCTTTCATCGAGGAGGAGTGGGATGATCATGGAGCAGCTCTCATTCCAGGAGAAGACGCTGCTGATGAGGTGGTGGTTACTTATGATACTGGTGGTGAAATGCACCATACCGAGCAGGTCTGTGCCTTTTCTTCCATGTTGAAGCATTACAACTTTTAGGGATGCTTACCGCTGTTGTAGTATGATGCTGGAACCGCTGTTGTAGCATTGCTTAGTTTTGTTGTAGTATGATTTTGAAGTCTTGCTTAGTGTCCCTGACACTGGAGTATTACTTTTG